TCTTTGTTTCCTTCTTCTCTCCTCCTCCTCCTAAATCTCCCTTTCCTTCTGTTGATTTCATAATGCAGGAGTTAAATGCATACATAATGTCAAACAAATCTTATTGTCAGTGTCCAACTTTTAGTTCCTGGGAAAGAAGAAGAATCACTACTTGCAAGCAGTTGGTTTCTCTTCGCGATCCAATTAATATCCAGATTGCAGTAAATTGCTGTTTCAGATTTCCCTCGCATTTGGTAGTTATTGTAAAAGAAAAACTAAGGTTATGTCTTGGCACGCACGCACGCACACACACACACACACGCACAGACACACACAAAACTACACCCTACCTTTAACTCCGAACATAGCTCACCCAAGGTCCTCAATGTCACGAGGCGACTCAGGCTATGTCTCTGCACACACGCACAGACACACACACACACACACACACACACACACACACACACACACACAAATAAAACAAAACTTCCCTCGCCTTACCTTTAACTCCAAACGTACCTCACCCCAAGGTCTTCTATGTCAGAGGCGACTGAGGACAAAAGACGTCGATTTGGGCGGCGGAAACGACACTCATTTTTCCTGTAAGAAGATTCCCTCTCCCTTCCGTCTCCTCCTTTTCTTCGATAATTGCAAGGCGCCATTGATCGTCTCGTTGCATGGAGGCATTTTGGGGTTGCATTTTGTGGTTTAGGACCGTGCAGATTTTGTTATCATAATCACGACCATCACTGTTATTATCAATATTGTTAATCTTTATATATCTATCCTCATTATCATCATTATTGCTGTTTTGTTGTTTTTATTGTTATGATAATAGTAATGAAGATGACGATAATAATAGTAATAATAATGATAATGATAATAATAATAATAATAATAATAATAATAATAATAATAATAATAATAATGATAATAATAATGATAATAACAATAATAATGATGATGATGATGATGATGATGATGATGATGATGATGATAATAATAATCATAATAATCATTATTATTATGATTATTATTATCATTATTATTATTATCATAATAATAATAATAATGATAATAATACAAACAATATTCATCATTATTAATAATCATTGTTATCATTATCAACATTACTGTTATTATAACTGTTATCATTATTGTTATTTATTATTATCACTATCATGATTCTTATTATTATTACTATAGCCACTTATACTACTATAGAAGATAATCTGGAAAATGCTTAAGGATACAGTCATCGAGACCGCAGAAAGATGCATCCCGAAAGAACACAAGAAAAAAAAAAGCATAACCGTCTATCGAAGGAGGCCAGCAGGATCGCAGACGAACGCAGAGAGGCGAAGAAGTGAGGTAACATTGTCAAATTAAGACGCTTAAATGCTGAGTTCCAAAAGCAAGCTCGACTGGACGCGGAAACCAGCATCGAAACGAAATACGAGGAACTAGAAGAACTGAACGTCAAGGGCAAGTCACGTGATGCTTTCGGAATAATCCGGGATATCACTGGAAAGGTAAAGGCCAGGTGCGACTCTAATAAATCAGCGACTGGGAAAACACTTACAGGGAAATCCGAAGTGAAGGCCCGATGGAAGGGATATACTGAACAATTGTACAAAAAGGACACCAGAGTAATCTCTTCGTTTTACGTCAAGGAAAGTTTCGAAAGCGAACCCGATGTATTGGAATCCGAAGTAAAGAAGGCCATTAAAAGTCTGGCCAACGGCAAATCTGCAGGAGCGGATAACATTCCCATTGAGCTGCTCAAAGCGGCTAGCAAAAGTGTGATGAAGACAAGTACGAAGCTGTGCAACGCAATCTGGAAAGCTCAAAAGTGGCCACAAGACTGGAAGACCAGTATCTGCATCCCGCTCCCACGAAAAAAGGCGACAAGAAGTTGTGTAGCAACTACAGAACGATAGCGTTGATTTCCTACACTAGTAAAATTCTACTAAAAATCATGCAAAAAAGACTTGAACATTACCTTCTGCCACAGCTTCCGGAGGAGCAAGCAGGCTTCAGGACCAACAGAGGAACCCGCGATCACATAGCAAACCACCGCAGAATTTTAGAGAAGTGTCAAGAGCATCATCAGACAGCACACATTTGCGTCATTAACTACAGCAAAGCCTTCGACTGCGCTGACCATGCCAAGTTATGGTGCACCTTAAAAGAGATGGGTGTGCCTGATCACCTCATCGCTCTGCTCAACAGCCTTTACACCGAACAAATAGCAACCATCAAAACTGAAGTTGGCGAAACTGATAATCTGAAAATCGAGAAAGGGGTACAAGGCTGTATTCCTTCTCCGCTACTCTTCAACATATATACAGAAAAAGATATGCGCGAAACACTGAGCGATGATAACTCCGAAGGCATTGAAATCGGTGGACTGCGTATCTCAAACCTACGATACGCAGACTACACGACCCTCATGGGCACAAGTGCTGATGAGCTAAAGGAGCTTCTTACCAAGGCAAAAACAGCCAGTGTAGCGTCGTAG